TAAAATATTAATTTACACTCCGTCCAAATTCGTTGGTATTCAATCAGGATTTTAAACAAAGGAAAAACAATATTGTGGTATTCAAAAATCTGACAATTTTAATGGATTTTTCATTGGAGTGGATTTCGTGAGACTTTTTAGTGAGAAATATAAATAAGATGTCTCTCTCACAATCTCACCCTAACCCCTAGGATTTCTTGAGATTTCTATACTGCAGTGTCTCACAATCTACTCTAGCATTTTCTCAAAGCCAAGGTATGTTCTTTTCTGACTCTCATATATTTTTTCAGGTATGGGTATTCCTCCTTCATGACTAATGATACTGTTTGTCGTATGTATTTATCAGGTTTTGGTATTCCTCCTTCATGATTAATGATGTGCTTCATTTTATTTTTTACCAGAGTTGTATAGAGTTGACGATAAACATGTATCTAATCTCTAAAATTGAACTAATAAGCTTACCACATACATTATTTGTCGACCTTCTTCTTTTGTATATTGTTTGGATTATAATAAGCATAAAATCCTAATATTCTTCGTGTTTGGCAATGATACATATTAAAAATCTTAATAATTCGATGGCAAGCTCTATTAAAATCCTAATATTCTTCGTGTTCAATCTTCGCCATGCATCATTGAGAAATGTAACTGAGAGGATATTTGGCATATTTAAATCACGGTTCACAATTTTTAAGTCAGCACCTCCATTTTCATTTAAAACACAAGCAGAGCTTGTGCTAGCATGTGTAGCACTACATAACTTTCTTCGCAAAGAATGTCGTTCAGATAAATTTTCAATTGAATCAGTAGATGCATCTTCATCTTCAGTATCACCAGTTAATGAAGAAGATAATTTTTAACTCATTGGTCAAACCCAAGAGCAGGAATAAGAAGATGCTGATGCGTGGAGGACTAGTATAGCTTTAAATATGTGAAGAGCTTATACTTAGTAATTTTGAATGTTTGTTAAAAATTATATTAAGTTTTACTAATTGAAAAAATTATATTAGGTTTTACTTTTTTATTAATATCATTGCATTTCTTTATTATTATTTTTATTGACTCTTGTAATTTTGAATATTTGTTAAAAATTTATATGATTTTTTAAAATCGTATAAATTCATATTGTCCTTTCAAATCTTATAAATTCTATTAAAATTTATAAGATTTTTTATCTCAAAAAAAAGTCTTTTAAAATCATAATTTAATACACCCCCTAAAGTTTATAGGCCCAAACCAAATTGAAATGTAAAAGATAAAAAAAATTATTCACAAAGATGACATGAAATAAATTTTCATTAACATCACATGAAATAATGTTCATAAAGATCACATGAAAATGTTCATAAAAATCACATTAAAATTTCATATATATATATATATATACACACACACACACACATATAATTTGCACTTTTTTTACTAATTGAATTTTATATTATATTTTAAATTTTAAATAAATATTTATTATTTGTTAAAACAACATTAATCCTATTACTTTGAAAATTAATGTTACAAATTATGATCTTAGAATATGCTTTTAAATGAATAATATATATCATAAATATATTATATTATTAAAAAATAAAAGGTATGTGTAATTATGATAAATATTTCGATATGTCAAATTTTTTGGCCCGACTAAAATTAAATTCTGGCTCCACCACTGGTTTGATCGGACAGAACAACAAGTAAGGTAAACAAGATAAACAAGAAATATGTTTCTTCTTTCGCTGTCTCTCTCTTACATTGTTACGTTAGAACGAGGAATTGATTTGAGACAGAAAGAGTGTGAAAACTGAAAAGCAAGATTTTTTTTTGAGATGAAAACGGAGGCGGTGGGAACCAATTCAATCTATTTGGTGAGGCTAGATTTATAATTTTATATATCTCAAAGATATGGATTAGTATTAATAATCTACCATAAACTTACTAAGTACTTCATCAGCTGTTATCCTTGCTGGAATATCCCTTGTCAGCATTCTCCCAACAAGATCTCGTGCAGGTTTAGATATTGATTCCCACATCCCGGTTTGGAACTCTAGCTTGGAATTCTTAATAGCCTCAAAAACTGCTTCTTGTGAATCCCCTTTAAATGGAAGAACACCAACCAACAGAGCATGCAGGAGCACTCCAGCACTCCATATATCCGCCTTTTCTGAGTATCTACCCAACAACACTTCTGGTGCAACATATGCAGGGCTCCCAGCCAAACCCGTCAAGTTCTGACCTGCAATGCAAATTTCTAGACAATGAGGCTATGCATAAATTACTCATGTATGCATGTATGTATCTTTTACTTATGTGTGTGTATTTATATATATGTCAATTGAATTACTGATATTTTTAAATGCTTAAAAATTAAACAAAGTGACCTTAGAGTATGAATGGTTAGCTTCAAACTATTATAAGCATTTTCTCTAGGACCTCTTATTCTTAGACCGCTAGCAAATTTAATTGAATACTGAACATAGTAAACTTAAGGGAGATGACCATTTGAACTCTCCAATTTTTACTCCTATGTACAGGGTAACATTAGTAAAGTACAATTCAGTTGAAAGCTCATCATGATGAACTTCTTCAAACTTGCCTAGACATTTTTTATTAACAGAATGACTAGGATGGAATTTTACACAAGGAAGGTTGTGTAAGGATTCTATTCATAGAAGTTAGCACATATATATACCATAGGATAACAAAAAAAGAAGATCATCCAAACAGGTTTAACATATTACCCTTAGAAATTCTCATGGCCAGGCCAAAATCAGCAAGCTTTATTTCCCCCCGAAGCAGTAAGCAGAATATTCTCAGGCTTGATATCTCTGTGCACAACTCCCATATCATGACAATACTTGATGACCAACATCACTTCCTTAAGTATATTAGCAGCCCGCTGTTCAGAACAAGGGCCCTCCCTAAACATCTGGTCGACAAGTCTTCCCCCAGAGCACAATTCCATCACCAAATGAGAGCAATCAGCTTCCTCATACACTGCCAGCAGAGTCACAACCCCAGGATGCCCAGACAAGTGCTGCATTATCTCCACCTCCCTGTAAACAGTCTCATCCCCCTTCTTCAGAGTCTTACACGCATACTCTGCGCCGCCAACAAGAGACCTACACAACGAAACAGATCCATACTTTCCTTGCCCGATCCTCACCCCAGTAACATAATCATCTTCAATCTTGTTCTTCCTCCCCATCTGGGTAGCCACGTCAATGCAACCTATCTTCCTCTTTAGGCCTCTTCCCGCGGTCATCAGAGACAATGTCCCACAAGGAGGAGCAGTGGCAAAACCCGCCACCCTACTCTTGTAGGAACCGGCTGAGTCTATCTTAAATAGAAATTAAGACTACCACTCGTCAGATTAGGTTTTGGCCTAAATACGTTAAGTTTATATAAAATATTTTGAACTTGGTTTGACCTATTAATTTGGTGTACTCTACATTATAGGTTTGGTCTTGTCTATATTTAAAAATCAAAATATATGACCTAGGCATATTAACATGTTTAAGCCTACGAATCTTTAATAATTATCAAAGTTAATATATATATATATAAAATAAATTTTTATTAGTTAAATTTATATAAATAATTATTTATTTTATTTGAATTAAATTAAATAATACGATATACTGACGTATAGGTCAATATTTGTAACAGGAAATGTTTTCTAAACAAGTTTTTTTTGAGGTCCAAGCCTATTTTATTTTACTAAATATATTAGCTAGGTCAAACCTAACCTACTTAGACCGAATTATAAACACTTAATAGACCATTTGATCCATTTAAATCCCTACATGGAAGTTATGTGTGAGGAAGAACTTGCAATTTGTGTGTTAACAATATTGAGCTTGGAAAATTTCACACGGCAAAATAATGTATCGATTATGTAATGTTGATCATCTCAAAATAATTTACTTCTTAAGAATAGTATTGTAACCGAGGGCATATCAAACAAATGGCATAGCGTGTGCCGGAACAAAATTTTGATGTGCATAATCACACCAGATGTTTTATGTACTCTAAAATCAACGGCAAATTGAGAGTACTAACTTGGTTAGGATGGAGAAAAAAAGGTTATAGCGAATTGAGAAGCGGAGAAAGTTATATTTATTATTATTTTAGACTTATCACTCTTATTATTTGATTGGTTATTGTTATATCAATTTGAAATCAATAATAAAAAAATAGAAAGAAAAAAAAAACTATTGCTGATTTCGACTTTGATAAATAATTAGATAGTAAGGGTGGTACGTCTAAAATATAATAAATATAACCGCCCCAACTGAGAGGCTTGATAGTCCATTGTTCTTTATAAAACAAAGGGGTGGTGAAGGGAGGGCCCCAATTGGTAGAAAAAAACCCGCAACTTTTTTTCTTCCAGAAACTCTTAGTATTTAAAAAATACATTGAATTTCAATTATTTCGAGTTGAGTCGAGTGAACTTACTCAAAGGAACAATATTCTCTTAATGTCTGTTTTTTCGTTTTCACAATTAAGACTTCACTTAAATATAATCGAGTCCCTTATTACTCGAACTTTTTACATATTGATTTATAAAACAAACAAATAATAACATTTGTAGATAGATCAAAAAACTCAATTTTTGAGTTTGTTCTTTCCGGTTCAAAGGTTGAAGTGACAAAAATAATAGAACCCCGTATACCGAAGTGAAAAAGAATTGAAGTGAAAAAGAACCAATTTTAATTATTATTTTTTTAACCTTGAATAAAATTCATTAAACCAGTAATGAAAAAGAATTGAAGTGAGTAAACATAAGAAAAACCAAAATCACTGGCTGCTTGTGGAAGCTTGTGAAGCTTCCAAAAAATAATCCATTTTCTTTATCACTGGCTGCTACACTAGTCCGGTGAACATTCTTTACCTCAGTTACTCTACCATCAGCCTCATTCATACTCTCATATCACATGAATACCGAACTAATTTGTTTCCAGCTGCAATAGTAGACTGAAGAATATCATCCTCTTTCTGCTGCTTCACTTTAAGTGATTTTTAGAATAAATTTCAGCCCAAACTTTATTGAAATCTGAACGACACCGACTCCATCCCTCCTGTTTCTGCTTCAGTCGAGTCAATATTACAGGGAGCGCACGAGTTGGGTTTTTACGCAATATGTCTATAACGTCAAGACCATGGTCACCATATAGACGTTCAATGCACCTTAAATTTTGAACAGTAAAGTAATCTTCAATACGGTTCAGAGTCTCCGTATTGATCTTATTTTCATTCATGTTATTATATAATTCCTCTGCACGTTTAGCTGCAGAACTCACAGACTCTAATAACATGTCCAGCTCAAATCTGTCATCTTCACATCTGAACAAGCTCTCTTCGTACTGATTCCTGCACATATGTTCGGAAGAGTAATCCTCACTTCCTGAACTCACAGATACCCAGTGATCATTCAATACTTGAGCACCAAGCTCAGATCTATGACTAGCTGTAGGAATTGGATAATCAGCAGGTAGAAGCCGGTAGCTGGGAGTGCAACGTTTACAGTCACTGAGGTCAAGTTCTTGAATGGATTTTCCCATGTACTCCTTCTCCCTGTATCTTTCCTTCTCTTTAGCTCCATCCATCTCACGCTTCTGCTCTTTGTCTTTGTCTTTGTCCTCCAACTTTGATGATCTTAGTGACTTTTTACTCATGACACCAGCAAGGAACCCATCAATATTTTCCAAACACTCCAGGAAATCATTGAATTCCACCATAAGATCAAGATGTTTTCCAAGTAAATCGGTTACCAAATTTTGCAATTCATTCCTTTTTATTATTTCACTGACGAAAAAATTATGAAGGCACTTCAAGAAAGCTTGGTAGTCATCAGCACTGTTCAACTTCTCCTTAACTTTCTCAAAGAAACTGAATGCTTGACTATACATGTTCTTTAAGGTATCCTTGTCTTCCTTAGAAGAAAAGTTTGAAGCCAACCCAAAACCTTCAGCTTTCTTGACAGATTTCTTTTTCTCATGAAAGCGCTGCAAGTTCAAATCCCTGCTGTTATTATTTTATATTGACAAAAATCTCACATGAGTCTTTACAATATTATTATTTTTTATTCTATAAATAATGTTCGCCCATCTAAATGTGACAACGCCTAACTCACCAGGTGTTGTAAGCGAGTTAGGTAACGTGACATTATGAACAAAAATTTACAAAATGTGACATTCAGATAATTTTTTACAAAAAATGTGGCCCTACTCAGTCACAAAATTATATTCTGTTATGTAAATAAGTTTACATTCACTCCAATTCCTTCTTATACTCAAACTAACTAGGTTGATTGAGAAAACTGCATTACACTCAACTAACAGAAAACAACCTTTTCGTCCTAAATAATCAGCAATAACTTTGGGGTAATAAGTTATAAGTCAGATTAGTTCTAGCAAACCCAACCCCATGAGCTAGGAAAATGAAAATGTAGAGAGAAAGAATCATCCAATAAAACCGTTAAAAAGGGGAGAAATGGATACCTCAAGAAATTGTTGAGCATTTATATGATCAGGTTCTCTCTCATCCTGATCACGATTAATCCTTATATCCTTACTCTCACGTTTCCTCCGCTTCTTGTGCATGTTCATCATTGTGTTGTCATCATCCATCTCAGGGTGTTCAACACTCAGATCACGCTCACGATCATGAGAAGGAAGCCTCTTTCGTCGATATACTTGCATTTCCCGCATCATGGGTGCCATAGAACTCCGCTCACTAAAGCGCTGCAATGAATTTCGAGCATCCGGAGCATGCTGTGTAGAAGGTGCTGCGAAACTATCTGGTAAGAATCTAGTGAACTCCTCAAGCAAATCTCGATGATCCTTAAACAGGGTAGCAACCTCACTATAAATTTCACCTATGTCCTTATGCTCTTTGCGGTACATATTGGAAATGTTCAAGAACGATTTGTAAACATGCTCATCACTTTGGAATCGTTTCTTTATCTTGTTCACAAACGTTGTTGCGTTAGAACGATGGAAACTGAGGCGGTGGGAACCAATTAAAAGGCTAGATTTAGAATTTTATATGGGAAAAAAATTTAATTATTGCATTTTAATTAATTAATTATGCAATTTGGATTGTGATTTTTTTTTTGGAGGTTTGGATTGTGATTTGATAGAAGAAAATAAATAAAATTTGTGATATGTGATTTAATTTTTTACAGTTTTGGATTGTGAACCAATCTGCGTGTGTGATTTAATATAAAAAATTAATCAAGATTTGATGTGTGATTATATTTAAATTTTATTTTATTTTTTTATTATAAAAAAATTTGGTTTGTTATTTAAATTAAAAGTAACAATTATTATTAATAAGGAAAATAAAATAAAGATTTGATTTGTGATTTAAACTCAAAAATCAATTTGAAAAATCTGTATTAATAAATGAAATAATTCAATAAATATTCTAAATCTCTAAGGAATAAGGATTACCTAATTTAAATTTAAATTATGTTTGTGAGAAATAAAATATATCAAATGAGATGTCATTGCGTAGATCTCGAAAAGTTATGTGGAATCAAAAAACAATTACCTGAATTGGATACCCGAGTCAAAAGTTATGGCCTTCATAAGTTTTATGATTAAATTATTATTATTTTTTTATAAAAAATGACACGTGTCAACCTTAGGTGAGAGATGCCTAAATGAGGCGTCACATTGTAAAATAGATCCGTAATTATTTCCAAAACTGCCATAAATGCGTAATATTTAATTAAAATGCAATAATTAAATTTTTTTGCCAATTTTATATATCTCAAAGATATGAATTAGTATTATTATATCTCCTTGGAGTGATGGATCAATCAAAAAATTAATGACTCTACTAATTTAATTTAATATATTATTTAAAAGTAATATATTTAAAATCAAATTAAATCTAATCATGCCAATTATTAAAAAAACTTTAAAATATATCTTGTTTTTAAAATAAAATAAAATAAAAACATAAATGAAATGATAATTAAAATTCATAAAATTTATACTTAATATATTTTAATTTTATTTATCCTGATATGATAAGCATAGGTTGTGTCAAAATTTCTATATAAATACATAAAATACAAAATTTAAAAGTACACAATACGATAAAGTTTTGTTTCAAAATTTAAAAGTACATAATACAAAATTTAAAAGCACAAATTCTTTTAGTTTTAAAATAATCATTGTTTAAAGATTTGTACAAAAATTAAATAATTCATTAAATTCTTTACGATTTAATGAAAATATAAGTTTATTTGATTATATTACACCTTCACTCTATTAAATCATTCTTATTCCAATAAGTAGAAATAAAAAAATAAAGTAGAGCTAAGAAAATAATATATTTTTTTTTAAAGTGACAAATAATTTAGAATAAATTATAACTTTTTAAATACAATTAGATACATAAAATGTGCCTATCATAGTAGAAAGCAAGTTAAATTCAACACCATATTATTTAAGTGGAAAGTGTTTGTCATTTTAAATGACATAAAGTTATGTCATTTGTAACGCCCGGTCGCTTCAAGAATCAATGACTATCCCCACATACTAACACGAGACTTTTCAGTGTGCTTTTTCCTCACTCGCACACTTCCCGGGAAAACTTCCTAGGAGGTCACTCATCCCATAATTGCTCCTAGTCAAGCACACCTAACTGTGGAGTTCTTCCGATCCGGGCTACCGAAAAGCAGATGCATCTTGTTAGTATAGGTAGTACCAATTGATTCTTATAAGCTATTCTCAAACTGTGCAGTCTCATACCTGCACAGTCTTTGGAATTCTTCTCTTTCGGGTGTCGATTCGATTCATTCATGCATGTAACCCCACGCTGGAAGCCTGTCAGGAGTCGCTCCTTGTCCGTGCCCCTTTGCACCGGCGATTACTCCCTGCCCTCGTCAGCGCTCTAGATGTTACATCATTTTAATAGAGAGATTCACACAAGAAATTATTTTTTATTTAAAATTTAAATTAAAAAAATCACTCACTTTCTCTCCCATGATTTTCATTTCTTATCTCTATATCTCTCCTAAAATAATATAACTTATGTCATTTAAAATGACAAACATCAAACTCATTATTTAAACATGGTCCTATCACTTAATTTGTTTTTAGCTTTTTTTTTTTTAAGAAAAAACCCAAGCAAGACCTGATTATCAAACTTGTGCAGGACAACAAATTAGACATGATTAGTTATCAAACTTCAAGACCTAATACGTCAAATGCTTTGACGGGATTAGCCAAAAAAATTAAGTCCATGTTTTTTAATAAATTAATTACGCATTTATTACAGTTTTGGAAATAATTATATATTTATTGTACAATATAACGACCAATTTGGGCGTCACTCAAGACGCCTAAATTGGGCGTCACTCAAGAGGCAATCATACTTAATTTAGGCGTCATTTATCAGATATTGACACGTGTCATATTTTTTTTCCAAAAAAATAATAATTTAATCATAAAACTTCTGAAGGCCGTAACTTTTGACTCGGGTATCCAAATCAGGTAATTCTTTTTTTAATTCCTCATAACTTTTTGAGATCTACGCAATGAGATCTCATTTGACATATTTTATTTCTCACAAACACAATTTAAATTTGCAAGAATAATATTATAAGAAACGTTAAACCCGGAAGCCTCTGAGTTCTGGATTTGTGATTTAATATAAATAAATAAAAAAAATTTTGATTTGTGATTTAATTTTTTTTTAATAATATTTTTTTATTATAACAAAAATTTGGTTTGTGATTTAAATTAAAAATTAAAATTAAAATTATTATTAATAAGGAAAACAAAATAAAGATTTGATTTGTGACTTAAACTAAAAAATCATTTTGAAAAATCTGTAGAAATAAAGGAAATAATTAAATAAATATTCTAAATCTCTAAGGAAGAAGAATATTATTTTTGAAATTAATGATTAATGCTATAAGCTTCTAAGTTATTATTTATGGTCTGAAATTAATTATGGCTTATGAATTTTTTTCAAAAATAAAATTACCTAAATTAGGCGTGATTGCCTCTTGATTGAAACCCAATTTAGACGTCATTGGTGACGTGTCAGGTGTTGACACGTGTCACATTTTTAAACTCAGAAGCCTCTGTGTTTTGGGTTTGTGATTTAATATAAAAAATAAATCAAGATTTGATGTGTGATTTAAATTAAAAAATAACAATTATTATTAATAAGGAAAACAAAATAAAGATTTGATTTGTGATTTAAACTCAAAAATCAATTTGAAAAATCTGTATTAATAAAGGAAATAATTAAATAAATATTCTAAATCTCTAAGGAAGAAGGATTACCTGATTTAAATTTAAATTATGTTTGTGAGAAATAAAATATGTCAAATAAGATGTTATTGCGTCGATCTCGAAAATTTATGTGGAATCAAAAAAAGAATTACCCGATTTGGATACCCGAGTAAAAAATTATGGCCTTCAGAAGTTTTATGATTAAATTATATTTTTTTGAAAAAAAATATGACACATGTCAACACCTGATGAGTGACGCCTAAATTAGGCGTGATTGCCTCTTGAGTGCGAGTTGGCTCCCTCCGGTATCCCCACGAGCTTCGACTCTTTGAGCCGGCTATGGGACTAATCCGGAGTGCGGGGGAACAGTGACCTTACACAAATTTTTGATATTCTTCTTGACTTTCTCCCTAATTTGTTCCCTAATTTCTATCTTAGGAATTTCCTTCATCCAATACCTGACTTTGTTTTTTCTTGAATTTCCTTTATTTGATTTCTCTTAATTCATATCAGGAATTTTTAAAAAATAAAATAATATATACTTGATAAATGGGTGTTCCCATTCCTTGATTCCAATTTAAATTCACAATAATAATAAAAGTGCTCTGTTTCACTTCTATGAGAATAAATGATTGTTTGGATGAGTTTTCAAAAAAAATATTTTTATATTTTATTTATTTTAGAAGTACTTTTTATAAAAGTTAAAGTTATTTAGATTTTTAAAAAATATTTAGTTTTTGAAAAAATATTTGTGTTTTAACTTATGTTATTTTTAGAAGCTAAAATTTTCATTTTAAAAAAAAAGATTTTTAACTTTTTTTTATGACTTTTACTCTTTTTAAAAGTAGACGTCCAAACATATTTCTCCCATACATGTTTTTTTTTCCTGAAGTAAAACAACTTTTGAAGAGAGAAAAACCCATCCAAAGAGGCCCTAATAATTTTTTAATGACATGGAAGAAAATTGATGCTAATTTTTTTAATTTTTTATTTCTATTATTTTAGTTCCTTTATTTTTTTTTCTCTTCAGTCAATTGATAAAAGATTTGAAACTTTAAAAACTTTCTTCCCTTTTCTCCCCTCAATCCAAAGATAAGGTTAAATTATAGAGAATCATCCCATTCTTCTAATAAAAACAAAAAGAGAATTATCTCGTATTTTAATTAAAATATATCATTTGTCCTCTCTTTATTGACAAAACTATTTATGTCTAAAAGGACATAATTTACGTCCTTTAAAAGGACACACTAAATCCCTCTCTTTTTTCCTGATTTGATCGGAATACTTTGAGCCATGAGAGTAAAAATGAGGGCAAAAATTCATGAATCAATTTTATTAGTAAATTATGTTTAAGATATATCCATGAAATTTTTATTCTTATTTTATATCAATTAATCTGGTTTAAGTTACCAAAATTCAATCCATATTAATTTACTTTTCTCTCAACTTGTAATGAGCTAACCAGAAACTTTGGGTTTAAACATTTTTAAATTCACAATTTTCATGAATTACTAATTGTTTTGATTATATTTATAAAAATTATGAATTCAGTTTGGTGATTGGTTATGTTTTGATGATTTTTACTACAATCTAGAATTAATTTATTATGATTACATATTTTTCTATTCTTTTAACTAATAATAAACAAATTTGTTTAACATTAATTTCAATCTAGCATTTTATGAGCCAATCCTAATCATCATGACTCATGAGAGATCTAAATAATAAATTACCCTCTTCGTTAAAAAAATATTCCAAAGCATATGCACCTTTTCTTTCTTTTTCCGAGCATATGATTCACTAGGGGTGTTCGCGGTCTGGATTGGATCGATTTTGGAAGCAAAATTCATCCGATCCAATCCCTTCGTTTTGATCATATAATCATCCTATTATCTAGATTACCCCTTAAACTCACCTTAACAGATAAAGAATCTCAACTTTTATAGCCTTTCAAAATCTATCCCCCGGTAGTTAAGATTCGCCTCTTCTAAACACAAGTAGCTGTACTTTTTTTTCCTTTTTTTTTTTCAGTGAAAATAAGCAAGCAGCTGTCAACTCCATTTTCAAAGTAAACGCCATTGCTATATATAATTGACTCAAGGTCAAACTCCTCGCTACCATCTGTACAAAAAAGTATGTCTTGAAATACAAATTGCCAACACTAAATAAGTACACATGCAGCGCGTTATGGGAGGGATAACATACGCTTATGCACTCATGGTTTCAGATTAAAATCTTCCAAAAAAACATATGAGTAGGGTCAAGTTTTCACTGAAGTGAAATCATAGCATTCTATTTATCATGCTCCAGCAAGAGCAAAAACATGCAGTGACACACTAATATCATATTCACAGGTTCTGTACAACTAGCTGAGTTTTCTCAGTAATCATTATTTAGAGGAAAAAAATGTAATCCACTTTTGCCAACTGTAGAATGTGTTGGGCAAAGTATACTATAAAACCCCAGCTAAAGCAGCAGAGATAGTGGTTTATGGGGTGTCAACCTGTCAGTAGGTCAAAATGCTTTACAGAGGTTAGCCCTCATGTTAGATAAACCTTGCTGATGAATTGGAACTGCCCACAACTTGCTCCTCTTTGGTTCAGATATCCTTACATGTGAAATTGCATTGGCAAGTGCATCAATCCACACACAAACATTATGATATTCTGAATTGCAACTTTCAGATGATGAAGAAAGGCTTGAAACCTCATTAAGGAACCCATCATCCATCCTGTTTCTTCCTAACCTAGGTTCAGGTGCAGCAACAAAGTTGTGGCAAGCAGCTCCATTTTGGTGCTTCAACTTTGATTCAACGGGCAGGATCTTCAATGTACGTTCTGTGTAGAAAGATATCCATGGATGTCCTGAAATTGAACCACATAATATTAATTTAACATGCAAACAATCGAACAGTTCTTAAAACTTAAAAGTACTGTCATTTTATTTCCTGTTTAAAAACATTAGGGAGAAAAAGAGAGCCTCAACTACATAGAAGAACACATAATAAAAACTAACAAAAGTATGTGA